ACTGATATAAGACCACTGATATCAGAAGGCACTTTTTTAAATAGTAATTTCGTGCTTATTTCAATAGTCTTTGGTACATTTTGAGTTGATTTATACTTATTGCAGGTATCATAATCAAAGTATTGAGGGATATCAATGGGGGAGGTATCCTCGTAACAATTCTTAATCACTTTCTTATGTCTAAGGACCTGATGCCTTTCTTCGTAGGAGGATATCATAATGCTTTCTTTTTTCATTCTTACATACCATAGTCCTTCTTTCTTATCTGCTACCATGAATATTTTCCCTTTCTTCTCAAACACTCTCTTTTCCTTCTCCATCACTATCCTTACTCCAACATCATCTATTCAAGAGTCTGATACAAATAAGTATCGAAAGGAGGGAACATACAGTAACCTTTTAAGGATGACTGTGTATGGATATCTATCTCACTAGTACACATTGATTCATGCATCTCTGGATACAGTTGCTTGAAGAATCCTTCCATCGGTAGTTACTACAGTTTTGGAGGAAGGTGTGAGATTGTAGAAACCACCTGAGTTTAATGAAAGGTGACTTATAGTACCTGAGTCACATAACTAATTTGTAGATATATTACCCTCTACCATCTCCGAATTTAATGCCATATTTCCCACCATCAATACTGTAACATTTACATCAGTTATTGTAGCTCTTTGAGTTTGTTTTCCCTTTTCTTTTCTCTTCTTTTCCTCTTGTAGACTTCAACACTTTGCGATTGTGTGGTTGTTACTTGTTTTCCCTCTCTTTACACAATAGCTGCAATTCTTTTACTCACTTCTAGGTACACTCAGTACTTTTTCTTCTTCTTTTCCTTCCGACTTCTTGGCAGCTCTTCTAACAAAGTAGTCTCTGACATCCACATAGCGAATAGTTTTCCATGCTGATAACATGTTGCATATGTTAGGATGTAGGTCATTTATGGAAAACATGAATACTGTTCCTTTAGCTGATTCAGATAGGATCTACAACCTTATTGCTACACAGAATTTGTTGATGTTGCTTTTACTGTCAGTATCATTGGCATCTTGTTGGGCTATTAAGTTTTAAGCAGTGTCAAACTTGGTTGTATGGTCATGGATTGATTGTCCAGAGGTGAGTTTGATCTTTCAGATAGCTTCCAGTAAGATTATGTTGGTTGCAGGGATTTCTTTGTCGAATCTATCTTTGAAGGCTTGCCAAACACCTTTGAAGATTGCATTGGCAGAGATGTCAGCATAGAAGGTAGTGTCAATGGCTTTGTATAGGAAGAACATTACTCTTTTGTCTTTCCTTGTCCATTCATTGACTTGCATCGTGTATGTTGTTATGCTACATTCAGAAGGAGGTTCTGGTTTCACTGATTTGCCCAATACTACATTCTATAAATCCACGACTTCAAAAGCTATCTCTGAGTTGTTAGCCAAGGTTTGATAATTTTCTTGGCTATGGAGTTTGGGGTAGTACCTGACAGAAATGCTAAAGCTAGATTTTGTGTCATTTTCGGATGACATGTGATGTAGACCATTTAGTTCTTTTGTCTTTTGCTTGGAAGTCATTTGTATCGATTGATATCCTCAAAATAACTTAATACGTAACCTCAGATATTTTCGTAGTAATGTTCACAGTATATAGGAAACAAATTATTGAAGTCTAGAGGTCTGATGTAGTTACAGCCTTTACAGTGGTGAAAGCCGTGTTTTGAGGAGGCCAGTAGGTGCTTGTGTGTATTATAAAAGCAATCTTTCACCACAATGTAATATAAGATTGGTTGAGGGTAGGAGATAGTGATACATTCACTTAGAGTGCTTCAGAGGTCTTCAGGTTTATAGTGGGAATACAGAAATATCTCACCAACTCGGGCTCATAACCTGAAAATATTTGTATCTATTGTACTAACTGTTGTGATAAGAAAGTAACAACGATAACCACAATAAAATCTGAAGACTTAAGGATCAATCCAAGCTTGTGTGCTCTTTCTAAGAACAGGGCTGAACCTGCCCTTTATATACCCCTTTATCGTTACATGAGCACTGCCTCATACCAAGGAAATCTCTAGAAGATGCTAGAATACAATAGCATATATACTCGGTCATGTGGCTGTGTCACATGACTAACACAGCCCCGTTACAGGATAGGAAAGGAATAACGTAATTTCCAACATCCGCATTCCGGTTGGTTTTAAAATCCACAGCTTTAGCCTATTTCGGTAGTCGTAATAGGAAAATCTTGTTGATTGTAAGAGGTGAAGTGCTCAGGATATCGCAAATCCCGTACTACGATATCATACCCAGCATAGCCATGGTGGAAACGAGCGGTTCCGCGTATATTTACTCCTGATTACCTGGGTGAGCTGGTGTTCCATTGTATGATAGAGTAGACTTTAAAACAGACCGGAATGTCCCGACAGCCTATCGGATACTTAGGTGACATACTATACAGGTATTAACCCCACTATTATTGCTTAGGGTCGTGGAGGTCAAAAGCCCGCTGGGCACAGGACTTGGCGCAGATCCTGACCGCGCACTTACAGTATTACCCGTACAGTACGAGTATCGCTGGTATCATATTCTCGGTTGGATAGTTGTATCCAGCCCGGTGGTTGGGATTGAAAGAGAAGAGGCCCCTTGTGATAGGGAATAGTCAGAATATTGAGTAATTTGATAATCAAACATTACTTGTGAATGCGTAAGTAATTTATCTAGATTTAGTAATATAATATTATGGAGTGACAGGAAGCTACAGTATCCGCACTACTCTCGATGCCCTTAACCTATCAGAATGTTTTCGATTTCTTCGCGTGTGTCCCGGGCCTGAACCAGCAGAAGGTATCTGTGGACATTCGAAGACAACTACGAGCCACTGAAGAAGGTATCTACGGGCGTATAGAGATATCGGCACGCATCTGGAGATATCTCGGCTACCCATCGGCACAATATTGGCCACCACATCGCATGTACAGTACCGAAATACGCGGGCATCGCCGGCCATCCAGAGAGTAGACCTAACTTAGACCTGGCTTTCCCGAACTGTATGTTTGTAGGCCACCCCCGAATATTGCTTGCATAGGAGCTTATGCGGTCAAACTGTCAGGTGGACCATGAGGCGAATAACAGCAGGCCTGAACTAGAAACCCGGAGGCGTGCACAACAGTCTGGCGTCAGATTCTCACTGTATTGAGATTCTAACCATAGAAGATCAAACAGTCTCTGAGTATTCTTAATACCGGTACTTTTAGTACATCGATGCTGGGAGAAGTGAAACCCCCCCGGTGAGATAGTCTCCGAATCTTAAGAGTGAGGTACCGTAACTATGGTTACAAGGTTCGAGCAGAGTATTACTCTGAGGGCGCACGATAATGAGGATCAATAGAATCAAATGCGGCGGGAGAGAGAAAAAGAAGAGGGGTGGGCTACAAAAGCTACCAGGAGCTTTAGCAATTTGGTTCTAAGTGAGGCAAGTGAGGAAAGCAAGCAAGAAAACTTCAGTGTTAAGACAAGATAACTTACTCTACTCGAGTACTCGTATTAACGCGGTGGGTGGGTTTAGGCCCCTCTTTCTGGGCTGGTGAGTGGGCTGGTGGACAGGCCAGTATCATACTTGTCTCAAACCAAAAGCACCCGTAAGTAAATTAGAGAAACACACGGCAAAAGATTTCTCTGTATCGGGGCGCCAGTTTAAATATATGATTCTTATGACCAAAACCAGCAGGTTTTTAGGCCCTAGCTTCGTGCCGTGGTAATTGAAGTAAAATAAATTCGTTTGGAATGTGAGGAGAGAAAAGTATAGTTAAAGGGATGATGGATAAGAACCAGCAGGAGATTTTCTTAGGCACACACTTGAAAGGTCAGAATTTGCATATCATTTCTAAGTAGATAACAAGGCCCTTTTAACCCAAGATGATCTACATCTTGTCCGGTGCCTGTGTGGATGAAAATTTTCATCTCCGGTAAGGGGACTAAAGTCTTGTCCCTTTGAAACAACAAGGAAACAGAAAAGAAACAAGAGAGAAATTTTTACTGCAAGGAGATAAGGAGATAGAGAGGAAACAGAACGGAAACAACAGGGTGATAACGGTTTCAGACATCAAGTAAGGTATAACGGAAAGTTCATGAAGATCATATGGGAAACCAATAGTAGGTATGAAATCGAAACTCAGGGACAATATTCCAACAGTAATGGTGTTGGATAGGCATGGGAGGATGGTAGTGGTGGTCTTGGGGGGGGGTTAGTGTGTAACCGTTAGTCGGTGGTAGGGTATTATTAGGCTTGATGCCAGAAAGCGATTTAGAAATATCAGGTGAACGAAGGCATGTTCTAGGCAGTCAACCAGTTTCGTGTTCACTTCTGGCTTCTCACCCTCTACTATTATGGTATCGGTGGGCTAGCCGGAGGCAGTAAAGAAGTAGCCTACCATATCAAGCTTTTCCATCTTTACTCTTGCCCTCTCGCCCCTTGATTACGAGTATATACTCACATACTCGAGTACATTCAACTTTAACTAGTTATTGTTGATGTCACACAACCGAAGGCCACCAGGGGGGCTCTGGGTTGAAAGGCCCTGCGGTATCTTTTCAACAACAAGGTTTACGGAGAGCGGTCTAGACACTTACGAGTAGTCGGATCGTACATTAGACAATTTTGCAATATAGAGATCGTATTAGAATATCCTAGCTAGCGAAAGATTCTCGCAAAGGAAAAATATAGGAAACGAAAAAGAAAACCAAAGACTGATCGACCCAAACACAGGTAACGGAGGAGAGACGCAAATTGGATGATTTAACGAAAACGGCTAATAAAGGAAAACAGGCTGCATTTTATCCTTCTCTGGATCATCCAGATCCTTTCCCGCATACTTTCAGCGTATGCCGTGTCCTTCACCACGTTCAACTTCACCGCCTCCCATTTTGCTGTTCTGGCCGAGGATGAAGGGATTTGACCGAGGGTAAGTTTTGTATGAGTATGACCGAGGATATGCCGGTCTATGGTATCCCCACATGATAGGGGTACTGCCTTCAAAAAGGAGTTGTCGCAAGTGTTGCCGAAAGTGATGCTTGATGTTGTTTGATGTGTAGGACTAATTGTTGTTCAAACGTATAGAGATACACTCGAGAGGCTGTATGTGTGTAGAGAGGGTCAGGATTTACTTGTCAGAATACGCAGACGCCCGAGTCTACGTATTCGGGTTAGGGTTATGGAGAGTTTCAATAGAAGCGGATAAGTGGTGAGCAGCCGAAAAGGATCTCCGTCCAACAGTATCTCTCAGTGGAGGGAGGGCGGATAATAGGGCGGAAAAAAACATGAATAATAAGTGAACACCAGGGGTGATTGGTAAGATTTTTATCCTTTCTTTCCCCCCCTCGAGGTCCCGGGGGCCTCTTGCTGGTACTTACTATACTAACCAGGCCGTGATCAGGATGGAGGTTTGTGGGATATAGTATAACGCTTAGGTCATTGGGAACAAACATTCTCCACCACCGGTTTCGCAACAAGCTGGTTAAATGGATCTTACATATCACCGCCGCAATTCCCCATGAGGGTATCTAAACCAAGGACCGAAATGAACTCAAAAAAGGTAGAGTAGAGCAGTAGAGCGGATAGTGAACGTAGCTAAGCCAAAAAAGGTAGATTACCGCCCTTCCAAACCCGTCGGGGCCTTTCATGCCCGAAAAGATACAATAGCCCCGTTATTTTCAAAGTAAAGAGAATTTTATCCACTCTTTAACAACATCCTCATCACCCCCTGCTTCGTTAGCGGCACCCTCGGCCGGGTCACCCAGGCCAAGCGCGCAAGAGAGTTCTCTGCAGCATGAACAACTTCGACGCCAGCCTCCGTATCCATGGCATGCCAGTGTAGGCGCACTTATGTGACGGCATCTATTAACTCTCCGTCGTCGGTGATGACCTCCTCACTCTCGAGCTCTGTTGTAGCTTTGGCGAAGCCAACGTCCCAGCTCACCCCGATTTGTGTAGGCTTCTTGCTGATATGATCCTTTGTCTCCTTGACAACCTTGTCTTTGTGGGCGTCTCGCGGTCTTATAGGGCCGCGAAGGTATCATAGTGGTGATAAAGTTGGGAGAGGGCGATAGCTTTGCGACTATTTTTCGTGATGTTGACCTCAGATCGCAGTCCATAGTACTCGTGCTTGAAGCAGGTGGCAGTATATGCGGGGGTGTCTGTGAGACGCTGAGAAAGCAGCTTATATCATACTGGTAGTGGTTTTTGAGAATGATATGAAAGGGTTTGTACTACCGGTAGGGGCATGACGAAACTAAGCGGGTGGCGAACAGAAGCACTGCATGGGAAAAAAGTGAACACCTCAATCCGCCCAGTTTTGCCACGCTCCCGGTGAAGACTGTATTGCCGTCCAATTATCGCGACCACGAATCTTCAGATAGAGAAAAAAAGAGGTCACACGAAGCGGATTATGATTTCGAGGAGGGAATGGAAGGGTAGGAAGTATTGAAGAGTGAGAATCAAAGTCAATCGTAAGTAGAGGGGCCTTGACTGTGGCTTGCGCGCCGGCATCTTATTTCTCTGGTTCACTGTCCTGCTGGATTTGTGCCCGGTGCTCAACCTTGATGGTTCTGCAAAGTAGGGGTAGTCCTTGAACGCAGAGAACATTCCACTACCGTCTGCTTCGTAATGATCCATGACACCTCTGGGAACGCTCGACGACTTTCTGCCCCGCAATAGCTCACGACATCTTTGCGCGCTTCCACTTAAGCCAAGGGGAACCGTTCTGGAACCGTAGACGCTGCTCGGCATGCTCGGATGCTTAGGATGTTGTTTCATTTATTCGGATAAATGTTTGGAGATGCGCTTTGGATTAACGCATCCATAGGAGGAAATGATGGCCGTCGGAAGAAGATAATGCGCCGTCGGAAGCGGTACGGGGGTTAAAGGAATGGAGCGGAGTCAGTGAATAGTGGGGGTCTTTATGAAGCCTAACTTATCTTTCTTTTGTTAGCATGGTTAACCTTATTATATTATACTGGCTACAACGATCTGTTTTTCACTAGTAGGCATGGGAGTACGTAGGGGAAAGGGAGACCTGCGCGGACGAGAGCGGATATGTGTGGCGACCAGTAGAAAGATAGGAAGATACTTTTGTTTCGATTCGTATGTGCTCCTGGTTTTGCCGTTTAGTTAGTTGAATTGAGCGATAGCGTACGAGGGGAGAGAATTGAATGAGAACGAGCGTGTCCTAGCGATCGGGGTCACTAACCGTCACCGTTTACCCCGACGTCCCCAACCATGGGTACTGTACTCATGATTCCTGCGGCTCCGATAAGATACCGGTGGCGGTAGTACAGTACGAGCACAAGTGAGGAAAGAGATAGAGTTACCCGGACAAAGTTGGGCAATCTTGGCACAAGTCTCCAGAAAGACCACGAATCCTCAAGAGCAGCAGGTCGAGCGGCAAGACCAAGCCCGGGATACTAGGTCAAGGGCCAACGCTTCGATTCCCAGAATGACCTCTGATTCCGCCCCAGAAGTTCAGCACCGCGAAGACCTTCATTCGACTCTCGCAGTTGCCGCAACACCTCACCTCCACTCCGTCCAGGAATCCCAGCCTCCCGATGACGCTCTGAGAGCTAAACCTTTAAAGAACGGCGCCTCCAGTGAACCTCGGGAAAACTTGAACGGGTGCCACAGAGTGGAGGATGGTGACATAAGACAGGGCGGGTCAGTGGGGAGTACTAATGGAAACCGGGATGGTTGTTTAGGGTCGATCGGCCCGATAGCTCCGCTTCAACGGCTATCGTCAACAGCTTCGTCTGAAGATTCTTGGGTTCCGGACGAACCGCAGCAACTCCCTACTCCGGAACTAACAAAAAGCGACGATAAACTCCGGGTTGCTGGAGCACCTGTTGCTGAAGTTGACAAGGTCCTTAAGCTCTCGCCTACCCGACTAGGGGAGCTTGTGAGTGACAACCCAGGAGCGCCAGTTTTACTTCGCCCAGCTTCTCCCGTATTCACCCGTTTACCTACATCGCCTGAACTGCCGGGAACAACCAGGTCGCGCCATAGGTCGACAACAAATCCATTCAATACCTCACCGGTGGCCTTTAAGACCTCATCCGCCGCACGCCCCCAACTCACACCCCAGGAGCGAACACTTTCAGCTCCTCCAGGAATGAAACGGTCAAGGTCGTCCCCGCGTGCGTTGCAACTTAATACTCAAAATTCCAATAGCCGGCCATTCCAGCAGCTGCGAGGACGAACCGCTGAGAAGCCGGGAGTTACAATTTCTCCCCAAAAGACCTCCGATACATTTTCCCCAGCACCGCATTTCGGCCCCGATGGTTCTAATGACCCAACATCAGCAAATCAGGCAAGCAATTCAGCGCATACGGGTCGAGAGAATGGGCCAGTCTCCTCAACACAGTCTCACTCCCCTACTACCACACACCTCTTGAAATCTGCTACGCCCACACCAGCGTCGTTCCCACCCCTACCTTTACAAACATACCTATCTCTGGCTCTCTCACCAACATCCTCAAGCCCTTCCCCATCTATGAATTTTCCACCCTCGCCACAAGCGGTACCACATCACCAGACACAAACCTACGGCCCACCACAGCACCATCCAGATGATACTGCAGAGATTGCAATTGAGCGAATAATGAATGTTCTTCTTCTTCCACCAAAACTTGAGGGCGCACTATGGTTTGGGGCTCTCGCTTGTTTAGACAGTTGGTTATACATGTTTACAATATTACCGCTACGATTCATGCGAGCTCTAGGCTTACTCTGTGCGTTTTGGTGGGGAGGCTTAATGGGATATTGCACGCGTAGTAGAAGAGGTGTGAAAGATCACAAACCTAGACGCAGGAGTAGCAGCAACATAAATAAAGCGGATGTGAACAAGTGGGAAAAACCCAAAGGAGATAGAAACTCTCTCGGTACTAGAAGGAAGGCAGCGAGAGTTTCGGACCTTTTGCCTAGCCACAAGGCAGATATATTAAGAGGATTAGTAGTTTTTTGTACATGTTGGATATTGATGAGGTTCGATGCTAGTCGAATGTATCATTCGATCAGGGGTCAGAACGGTGTCAAGTTATATGTCATATATAACATGTTAGAGGTTTGGGTCCTCCCTGACTCTAATTCAAATATTCGCTAATTCCATAGAAACCGATAGATTGGCGACAAGTTATGTTCCGCGTTAGGACAAGACATTTTTGAATGCCTCTTCTCTAGGGAAACGCTTGAACGGGGGTCAGACGGGCGCAGTAAGATATTGAGGCCCTTCGGGTTCTTCCTGTTAGGCTTGGCCTATAATAGTAATACCTTTTGTATCCCACACCCAATGTCGAATCTGTTAGCTAATAGACAACCACAGCGGCTCACTCGACTGCCCTATTCTATCAAGTTATCACCCTCAATGTCGCTGTCAACTCATATTCCAACGCTCTCGTTACACTTCTCCTCTCGGTTCAGTTCGTCGAGATCAAATCCACTGTCTTCAAGAAATTTGAGAAAGAAAATCTCTTTCAACTGACCTGTGCCGACATTGTCGAGCGGTTTCAGTTATGGCTGATGCTGATTATAATCGCGTCACGGAATCTCGTCGAAACAGGCGTGTGGTCATTAGCCGGACCAGACACCTCCAGCGCCAATGGAGCAGGTGTAATGCCCAAGAGCTTTACCTTGTTCCCCAAATGGACCGGTCAGGTGATGGGGCCATTCCTTCTAGTTCTTGGAAGCGAAATGTTTGTCGACTGGTTGAAGCATGCATACATCACCAAATTCAACAATACCCGTCCAGCTGTATACGAAAGATTCCTAGACGTCTTATCCAAAGACTACTACTCTCGTGTATCCCTCCTCTTTTCAATCTCTATCCCACAAGCTAACGATAAGCAGGCGTTCGCCGATCAAAACCTAACAAAGCGGCTTGGCCTACCGGTGATCCCTCTAGCTTGTCTCTTCATCCGTGCTAGTCTCCAAACATACCAAATGTTTCTAGCAACACAGGTCCCACTCCCTATGCCCTCAACAACAACCTCTCTGAGCGAATCCCACACATCGCGCACTACAACTGAGGCTTTAACAAATATCGATGTCCTCCTCCGCCGCGCTCTCGGCCATTCCCCAACCTCTCTCCCCACCTCCCTGCCCGACAACCTTGTGGCAACTGCAATGTTATTGATATTCTTCATCGTTTTCTTCCTCGTTTTCCTTGTCCTCAAACTTGTCTTGGGAATATGTCTACTTGGCTTCGCTAGACGAAGGTATAAGGGTATGAAGGATCGGGAAAGAATGAATTTCCTGACCGGCGCTAGACGGGTAGGCGGGTTCGGCACCATTGAGGTTAACGAGGACCAGAAAAAATGGATTTATGCCGACGATCCCGAGGGAGCAAAGCTAGCACGGGAGAGAGACTCAAGGCCGATCCCACCAGGCCCAGGGCTGGAGACTGTGAGGAGGTATAGCATGGCGGCGAAGAGGATTTGGTGATGGGTTCAAATATCCCTGGCATCTCTTTTTCTTCCCCCCTTTCTTTCCTGTCCCTTTAGAGTTTTGATGCATTGCAGAATTCACTTTATCCGCATTTCAAGACTGGTTGATTGGCTTTCTAATGTATTGTTACGGTATCTATTTTTCTATTCGCTTGTAACTTTAGGTATACGCCGACGGCGATAGAGTATTCCCCCCATCAGTCATGTGCTACATCTTTTTTGCCCCACAATACCTATTTGAGCTACGACGGGCGTATCCATGTATCATACAAGCACTGTCATACTACAGAACAGCCTTCCTAAAATCCTAGATGCTCAACAGGCACGGCATTCAGGCTTGTGTTGGGTAGACCATAGTATGATATGATGATTGGAGAACTCTACAAGTGCTGTACACGAGCGGGCTAGCAACCTAAATAGCGCCTTGCCATCTGGGGCAACTACCGTAGGACCCCACGAACCTTTACCATTGGAGGACTCCCGGCGGGGGTCTGGAAGAATCTGGAGTTTGGAGCAGAAATCTGGATCACAGGTTGTTCCAGTGGAGGAGAAACCGTTTTCCAAATTTCCAGATTATGGTCATTGTGGAAAAATGAAATTACACATAACTTTATGAGACATACTAAATATAGGATTTGGTAAGAAATTATTTTTCATGGGTTCGCATCCTGAAGTACTATGGCGGCTTGCCGGTTCTCCGTTTGTGCATTAAGAACTGGGGCCTAATGGGCCGGGAACTATGGGTTAAAGGCCGGTTGACCAATTGTACAACCAACGATAAAGTTGGGACTTAGGTTTGATCATTTTACGGCCATGTTGGGGGATATGGTTTCCTGGGTTCCTTGGTGAGTATTGCAATCCTTCTTTCTATTTCTCTCTCTTTTTTTTTTTGGGGGGGGGGCCCACCGCGGGGATTATCTCTTCGCCGGCCGTTATGGGAGGAGGTTATGGGCCGTTTTTCTCCCTCCCCCTTGGAGGCGTTGAGTAGCAGTACTCGTACTCGTACTAGTACATTACCGTAGGACCTCAAATTATTGGACCCCGTGCTAAGTACGATAGTCGAGGGCTCCCTACTTTGGAAGAGCGGCAGCAGGAAAGAGCTGCTCTGTCCCTCCGGGTGACAAAAAACAAAAAACATCAAACACCAAACCTTACCAGAGGAGGGAGCTCCAACGACATAGTACACTGTTCGCTGTTGTCGGAGGACACATCGTGACTTACGAGAATCTTTGTAGTCCTGATATGTTGTTTCTCCATCACTGATTCGTGGACATTATTGTTGGAAGGGTGCTATCAAAAGGGGCTCTGAGACGTATGGGGTGGTGAAAGGGAAGGAGATTGTCGAAAGCTGGACCAGAAGGATATGGAGGAGCAAGGAAGAATACTCATGGCTGGGTGCCATTGTTCAGAAATTTTATTGCTTTCTTTCTCTGCCTTTTTCTTCTCTTCGTCCACCAGCCTTTTCACGCCTATTGGGGGGTAGATTCTCTGGTACACGGTTGTCATTCTTGAAGTCCAATTACATCTGTCCTTAAGGGAACGTTCTTCACCTGTCATAGGTAGGAGGACAGCCAGCAATCGCAACACCTTCGACCGGTGATTCCTGTGGTGTCAAATCCCCACTAAACAACGCCGAACCCGAAAAGACTCGCTACAGTACGGCTCAATAGGTACTAGGGTGTGATATCGTAGCCTGTCTACGTACCGGCATTCCCGGTAATCGTATCAAGGTTCCTCCCTCTTCGAATAAGGCTAAGCATCTTCTAACCTTATGTAATGCTAGGTCTTGGTGGCGGGTGGGGGACCGGATGACAATTGATCTGATAATGGGTACTTGTACGGTATGTGCGGTATCAGGTTGGGCATTTAGAGAGTCTGAATATTCTGTGGGACGGGATCCTACTGTGTACTGTACTGGAAAGTACAGAATAAAGTACCGGCACTCGTGTCTCGGGTGCGGTGTCGTGAATTTGGGGTGCAGTTCAATAAATTTTATTTATCCTTGTATCGCCGACCCAGCATCAACAAGTACTCGTACAGTATCATACCTACTCAAGTAGTGGCATGACACCGATTCCCGTTCTCTGCAACAATCCTGATCCATCATTTAGGCGCGTTGCTTGCTCAAGTAACCGCACGTGTTTCTATGACGTAGATGTAAGTGAGCTGGTACAGTGCCAAAGTTTATCGGAGAGAAAACTTGCTTGAGGATAAAATGATCTTACCGATAGTCTAGTCGAGAAGTCTCTGGGGGTCAGTGGTATAAGATCTCAAGGGATGTACGTTAATGTAAATTAGGACCCATCGCCAGCTTCGTGGATCATCCCTCAAATTTTCTGGTGGCCAATTCATTTGGCTTGTCCAGGATTCCAACCGGGAAAACAACAGGCTTGGCAGGCTCTCCCTCCCAGAGTTTATCTCAACCTCATTTCAACAAGTTACAGTCCTTGAATGTCGCTCAGCCGTCCCCAAATGAACTTATTTTTATAATCAGTGGATATCTCGATGATTGCACCATCGCGAATCTCCTCCGAGCGAATAAGGGCCTATGTTTTCTGCTTACCCCAGTCCTCCACCAGCTTGCTCTGACTCCTCCCGGCCATGGGGCAACGACACGATTGCAATGGGCAGCACTTCGCGGGTATGTACCGCTAGTGAAGCTCTTGCTTTCAAAAAGAGTGGGCTTGGGCAGTGAAGGAAAGGTTGACCCGGAAGCCCTCCGAGGCGCAATAGCATCCAACCATAATCAAACATCATTCCTTCTTCTCCAAGCGGGAGCAAATGTCGCCAGGGTAGGGTTCCGAACGCCATTATACATACCACCTTCTATATAACCGGTCTTCGTCGGGAATTTACGGCGGCTTCTACGCATGCTCAGAGACTACGGAGCAGATTTCTCGGCCCCAGACTTCCTCGGAAAAATCCCTCTTCATCGGGCAGCTGAGGAGGGCGACGTCGAAAGAGTAAAGCTTCTTTTGCAATTAGGCGCAGATCCAAACTCTCAAACCAGCGACGGAAAAACCGTACTATTCTGTGCCTACAATAGCCAAAAGATCATTAACCTTCTGGTTGAGGCGTGCGCGGACCCGAATATCCGAAACATCTATAAAGAGACAACGTTATATAGGGCATGCAAACTAGATCAACTAGGAAGCGCCCGAATGCTCCTAGAATACGGCGCGAACCCCTGTGGAAATGGCCCACACTACAGACCGATTCTATCAAGACCCTCTCCAGAACTAGTCAAACTACTCGTCTCCCGCAGCGAGGACATCCATGCGGACGACGTCTCTGGCTTATCCCTCATCCACCAGGCGGCGCAGGGGCCCTACCCGGGGACTTTAAAGAAGCTATTAGATCTTGGAGCAGATGTCAACCGCCGGAATCTCTGGGGGGCTACACCGTTACACTTCGTTGCGGAATCGGAGGATAAAGGTCAATGCACACTCATGCTCATAAATGCGGGCGCCGAAGTTGATTGTCCTGACAACAGCAAGTATATCGCACTGCATTGGGCTGCTAGAAGTGGATGTTATCTTACTATAGTAGTATTTCTGGCAATGGGTGTGGACTTTACAGTCTTGGATAATGAAGGTCGGTCACCGTTGGATCGCACGTTTGATCAATGCTACGCGAGGCACAAGGTTATTGAGAAAATCTTGCGCGGGTCGTGGAAGAGGTATTGTGGGCGGGAGATGGTTTCGGCGTAGTGAATTTGATGGCAGCAGAGCTGCAACGCTTCGGTTATTCTTATACGTTTAGTTCGATGATTTGTAATGTGTGTGGTATCATATGTGGGTAGTTAGGACGAACAGCCAGGCCAAGTAGGCTGGTTTCAGGTGACGCTGTACTTTTTAGAGACGTGCATTGGCGGTGTGACAATCGGGGACTTTACCCTTTCTCCATCTCTTTTTTTTTCGTGGGCTGATGTGCTTGGTCCGCTTCCACGAGATTGGTAATGATCGTGATTGGGTGTGTCCGGGTCGAGGTGAGTGTTAAATCAAGTATTAAACTATCGGATGGGAACCTCGTGGAATTATAACCACCTAGAAGGCTACTGGAGTCTTGTAGGCCTTAGGCTACCGAAGTTACTTTAGTTGAGTCGGTAATTGTGATCATATGTGCCGCCGTCGGCCACCAACCCCGGGGGGTGCTATTGAATTACGCAGCTCCTACTCCAGTTGCTTGTTCTCTTTCTAAGAGTGGTAGTCATATATCTGTTACCATGAGCAGTCTGGCTCCGTGAGGGGGCTCATGTAGCACTTGCACAACGTTGTACTGTATTCTAGGAGTATTTGCCTAATCGTTCGAAATATCGTTATCCAGGTGTATATATCACCGCGCTGAGCCCGTTCGGGGAGAAAAGTTAAATGAGATTCTCTGACCTCCGCAGGAAAGTATGATACAGCACATGGGGCAGCATACCTGGCTTATCGAGTGGTGCTCAACTCCTTGCATCACGAACCCAGTGGTTCGTGGTATCTTAGAGAGAGCGTGCAGTGACTTCGCGCCCCTGTCCTGTATCCTAGCTGGGGCTGTAGGTCATGGCTGGAAGTAACCCGGATTAGAGGATATAAAAGACTTGCGCTCCCTCCACCTCTCTTCCATCTCTTCCTCCTTCCCCCAAACATCACCCACCAGTACTACGACCATTGGAACAAAACAAAATCGGACCAAGCCTTTATTTTTATCTTCGTTCATTTTCTCAAAAAAGTATCAGGAATCTTCCCACCCTATAGTGTCCAAAAATCCCCAACTAACAGCCACCCCCCAGACACCTCTAATGACATCCTACCAAATCACAAACCTAGCAACTCCCTTCCTCCCTCCCCCTGCGTCTCCCCCTCCCCTTCCCCCACGCCTGGTTTTTCTCCCTGATCTTAGATCGAGGTTCTCCATCGCGAGTCGTAGAGCAGCTATCGCCGGCGCCGAAGCACAACTCGAGGGGCTTGGATACTGGCGTGTGAGGTGGGCTATGGCAAAGGGCTGGGCTCGCGTACTTGTTTGGGGCGTTGGTGAGTGGGTTAGTGAGTGAGTGGCCGTATCGCACTGCGGTTTATAGTGCGGGTGGCTGATTCGGTTGGCAGGGTTTGGACAGCCGCGGCGAGATTGTGGTGGGGTTTTTTTAGGAGGGGTGATGGTGGGACTTGACGTTATGAAGTGACATAAGTTATTCCTTCGGGCCTACGG